ATGGGGAGTTTGGCGTATATTCCAGTTGGGGAGAGGCCCTTTGCAGTTGATGTCCAGGCTTTGGCCAATCGGATGGTGAGATTAGATATTTCGGAGCCGAGTCGGGTGTTGGCTTGTGTGGTTTCTCGGTCTTCCGTGTATGACCGCATCAGAGAGCGCCAGTATGATGATCCGCATTTGCTTGTCCTTAAGGACAGGGTTCAGCATGATGATGCCAGGGATGTGACCATTGATGATGATGGCGTGTTGAGGATGCAGGGCCGGATTTGTGTGCCCAATGTGGATGGGCTTCGGGAGTCGATATTGGAGGAGGCCCAGAGCTCGCGGTATTCCATTCATCCGGGTGCCGCGAAGATGTATCAGGATTTGAGGCAGCATTATTGGTGGAGGAGGATGAAGAAGGACATTGTAGGATTTGTGGCTCGGTGTCTCAACTGTTAGCAGGTAAAGTATGAGCATCAGAGACCGGGTGGCGTACTTCAGCGGATGATTATTCCCGAGTGGAAGTGGGAGAGGATTACTATGGATTTCGTGAGTGGTCTCCCTCGGACTTTGAAGAAGTTTGATTCGATTTGGGTGATTGTGGATCGGCTGACCAAGTCCGCGCACTTCATTCCAGTATGTACTACCTATTCATCGGAGCGGCTGGCAGGGATCTTTATCCGGGAGATTGTCCGATTGCATGGTGTTCCAGTGTCTATTATCTCAGATAGGGGTACTCAGTTTACTTCTCAGTTCTGGAAGACTTTTCAGCGAGAGTTGGGTACACAGGTGGAGTTGAGCACAACGTTTCATCCTCAGACGGACGGACAGTCCGAGCGTACTATTCAGATATTGGAGGACATGTTGCGTGCCTGTGTTATTGATTTTGGAGGTTCTTGGGATGGGTTTTTGCCGCTTGCAGAGTTTGCCTACAACAACAGTTATCAATCGAGCATTCAGATGGCTCCGTATGAGGCGTTGTATGGGAGGCGGTGTAGATCTCCCGTTGGTTGGTTCGAGCCCGGCGAGGCTAGGCTATTGGGGACAGAGATGGTTCAGGATGCCTTGGAGAAGGTGAAGCTGATTCAGGAGAGGCTTCGTACAGCTCAGTCGCATCAGAAGAGTTATGCGCACCGGAAGGTTCGAGATGTGTCTTATATGGTTGGTAAGAAGGTCTTGCTGAAGGTTTCGCCCATGAAGGGTGTTATGCGGTTTGGAAAGAAAGGGAAGCTGAGTCCACGGTTCATTGGACCTTTTGAGGTACTTAGGAGGATTGGGGAGGTGGCTTATGAGCTTGCTTTGCCACCCAGCTTGTCAGGTGTGCACACGGTATTTCATGTATCTATACTCCGGAGGTATGTTGGGGACCCGTCCCATGTATTGGACTTCAGCACGGTTTAATTGGATGATGATTTGTCTTATGATGTAGAGCCAGCAACCATTTTGGATCGTCAGGTTCGGAAGTTGAGGTCAAAAGATGTTGCTTCGGTGAAACTGCAATGGAGAGGTCGGCCCGTGGAGGAGGCTACTTGGGAGACCGAGCGGGAGATGCAGAGCAGATATCCTCACCTGTTTGAGGTTCCAGGTATGTTTCTTGACCCGCTCGACGACGAGAGTTTGTTTTAGTTGGGGAGGATGTGACGACCCGGCCCGTCGTCACGTGAGTTACCGCCCCGTTTCCCCCATTTTATGCTTCTCTATGCTTCATTATCGGTATTTGATGTGATCGAGTTGATTTGGATTGGTTCTGGTAGGAAATGAGACACTTAGTATCTTTAAGGAAGGTTTGGTTTGGAAAAGTCAACTGGATGTTGACTTGTGAGTTAGAGAGCTCGGATGTGATTTCCGGTGATTCGGTTAGCTTCGGGGGATGATTTGTGACGTAGGAGCGTGATCGGAATTGATTTTGGAGGTCCGGTGTAGAATTAGGCTAGAATTGGCGAAGTTAGTATTTGGGCGAATTCCGGTTGATAGGTGAGATTTTGATCCGAGGGTCGGAATGGAATTCCGAGAGTTGCTGTAGCTTCGTTAGGTGATTTGGGATGTGGGTGAAAAATTTCAGGTCATTCGGAGGTGTTTTGATTAGGTTTTTGATCGAATGCGTATTTCGGAAGTTTTTAAAGAACTTAGGCTTGAATCCGATGTAATTTGATGGTCTTAGTGTTGTTTGATGTGTTTTGATGATTGGAACAAGTTTGAATGATTTTTTAAGATGTGTGGTGCTTTTGGTTGAGGTCCCGAGGGCCTCGGGGTGATTTCGGATGGTCAATCGGACCAATTTTGGCCTTTGAAGATTGTAGGTTTTTCCAGCTATTTGTTGCAGAGAATTTACCCTTCACGTTCGCATAAAGGGTCACGTGTTCGCGAAGAAGGAACTTGGGAGGCTGATGAATTACTCTTCGCGTTCGCGTGTAAGGGTTCGCGTTCGCGTTCGCGGAGGGCTAGCTAATTGTGCATCGCGTTCGCGTGGAAGTAGCCGCGAGCGCGTATAAGGAATTGAGTTTAGGGGGTTTTTGATCTTCGCGTTCGCACTTGTGCTGTCGCGTTCGCGTAGTGAGCTGTGAGGAAGTTTCGCGTTCGCGGAACCTGGAACGCGTTCGCGAAGGGCATTTTTGGGCTGATGGAAATTTGAGCATTGCGAACGCGAGAAAGGCCTCGCGTTCGCATAGAGGAAAAGGTCACCTGGGCAGAATAGATTTAAGTCATTTTGTTCCGCGAGCTAAGGTATTTTTCCACCATTTTTGAGCAACCTTGAGAGCTTTTGGACGGAAATTGAAGGGGATTTCGACTAGGAGTGATTGGAGGTAAGTTTTATGACCTAAATACATGATTTAATGGTGAATCCGCCTAGAAATTTATGGAAATTCGTCAAAAAGGGGGAAAAGCTAGGGCTTGGTTTTTGATATTTTAAAATGGGTGTTGATGGGTCATTTGAGCTCGGATTAGGGAGTTTTTGGTATCTATAGACTCGTGGCGAGATGAGGAATCCGATGATGTTAATTTTTTGATTTTTCGAGAAGTGGGCCCGGGGCTCGGGTTTTGCAAATTTCGTGAATTTCGATATTTTTCGAGTCTTTTCGATTGGGTTATGTTCCCTTAGCCTATTGTAACGTATTCGTTGTGGTTTTGATCAGATTCGACGCGCGAGGAGGTCGATTTGCGAGGCAAGGGCATAGCGAGCTAGGATTTTGGCCGGCTTGAGGTGAGTAATGATAGTAAATGATATCCTGAGGGTTTGAAACCCCGGATTTGCACAACGTAGTGCTATGTTGAGGTGAGACATACGCTGCATGATGAGCGTGGGGTCCATTACTGCTGGGGATTTGGACTTGGTCCATCCCGATTGATGATTCTATTGTACTTCGACTGATCTTAATTAATATCATTGTATTCTGGGCTAGTTGCCATGTTTGGGGCCTTGTGCCGACCTGTAGAACCCTTAGGGGTAATTGTACATGATTGACCTCACTTTACTCGTTAAAAATCATACCCTCAGTCATGTTTCTAACTATTTAGTCTAATATGAACCGGCTTTGGAATAACTAAACCAAAAGGAGAGTAATAAGTGGGTTGGGGTCCCTATCTTAGTTTAGTATGCCCGAGAGGCTAAGTTTATATTGACTGAGAGGGGTTGGGAACCCCATTGTGAGGGTATTTGATATATATATTGGATCGGGCTGCACGCTGCAGCAGTATATTATTGGATCGGGTTGCACGCCGCAGCAGTATATTTATATGGATGGGACTGCACGCCGCAGTAGTATAGCGGTTGGCCTGTAGGAGCCCCTCCGGAGTCTGCACATCCCCAGTGAGCGCAGTCGACTATTATTATTGGATCGGGCTACATGCCGCAGCAGTATATTATCGGATCGGGCTGCACGCCGCAGCAGTATGTATATATATATATATATGGATCGGGTTGCACGCCGCAGCAGTGTACTATATGGATCGGGCTGCACACCGCAACGGCATAATTATGATTTCGATTATCGTGAGACGTAAATGAGTTGAGTACTGGCTTAAAGGATTTTTACCTGATTCTTCATTCAGTTGCTGTTAAATGTTCTTACTGCTTTGATATAGAACTGCTTAGTGCTTTTTANAGTATAGCGCTTGAGCTGTAGGAGCCCCTCCGGAGTCTGCACACCCCCAGTGAGCGCAGTCGACTATTATTTTTGGATCGGGCTGCACGCCGCAATAGTATATTATCGGATCGGGCTGCACGCCGCAGTAGTGTGTGTGTATATATATATATATATATATATATATATATATAGATCGGGCTGCACGCCGCAGCAGTGTACTATGTGGATCGGACTGCACGCCGCAGGTTATCGTGAGAAGTAAATGAGTTGAGTACTGACTTAAAGGATTTTTACCTGATTCTTCATTCAATGGCTGTTAAATGTTCTTACTGCTTTGTTATAGAACTGCTTAGTTCTTTTTACGAGATTTCTTTCCGTCAGTCATTATTTATTGCTATTACTCACTGAGTCGGAGTACTCACTTTACTCCCTGCACCATGTGTGCAGATACAGGTATTCCGTAGGCGTAGTTGAGCTATTGCTGCTATTCAGATCTCACCGGAGTCATCGAGGTAGCTGCATGGCGTTCGCAGACCCGATTTCTCCCTCTATCCTCTTTACTTTCAGCATCTTTAGACTATCCTTTTGTTTAGGCTGTTCCTCAGACTTGTATTAGAGGCTCTTGACTCGTGACACCAGATCGGTGGGATTTGTAGTGATATTTCTTGTTTTCCGCATATTTTATCTACTGTTACAGATTTATAATCATGTTAATTTGGTATTTAAACTCTGTTATTTGGTAATGAACTCTAATTGAGGATTGGGAGTGTTGAATTGGTCGGGCTTGCCTAGCACTGTGTTGGGCGCCATCACGACCGGGTTGGGGTCGTGACATTGATGTGATTTGAGGCCTCGAGCAGGTCCGCGTTATGTTTTTGAACTGGTTGATATGATTGGATGGGGTCCCGGGGGCCCTTGGTGGATTCCGGGTGGTTAACGGATCGAATTTGAACTTGGAGAAAGAGCTGAAGCAGCTGGGCTTCTGGTGTAATCGCACTTACGCTTGGACAGCCGCAGGTGCGAGCTCGCAGAAGCGAGCCCCTGATCACGAAGGCGGCCCAGCATGGGCTGCCCAGCCATCGCAGAAGCAGAAATAAGACCGCACCTGCGAAGGCGCAGGTGCGAAGGTGAGGTTCGCAGGAGCTGGGGAAGTCGAGGTGCGCTTAGGAAACCGCAGAAGCGGTCGCGCATAAGCGGTTAGCTGAGCGCAGAAGCGGGAGGAGGCCTTTGGGCAAGGGCCGCATTTGCTATTATTTTTTTGCAGATGCGGAGCCGCAGAAACGGCCAAACCTCCACAAGTGCGAAAATCGGAGAAGGCAGAACCTCATTTAATACGGGACTTAGGCATTTTGAGCTAACTTATTCCATTGTTTGGGCGATTCTTGGAACTCTTAGAGAGAGGATTTTACCTAACACTTTGAGGTATGTAATTTCTACACTATGTGAGTTTAATACATAGATTATGGGTAGATTTTAACATGTAAATTGGTGGAATTCATGGGTTAGATGGAAAATCTAGGTTTTAAACCATGAATTTTGTTATGGAATTTGGTGAAAATCATATATTTGAGTTCATGAGGTTATGAGTAACAACTTTCCTCGAAAATTACCGAAATCCGAGCACGTGGGCTCGGGGGTGAATTTTAGGAACCTTACGGTTAGGGTTGGGTAATCACTTAAATAGTGAGAATATGAACTTTTGAGCATATATTGATTAGTTTATACACTATTTGAATAGCTTTGGATTGTTCGGCACCGATTTGAGGGTTTAAACATAATGTTGGACCGGAAAGTAGGCCTTGAGACGAGGTAAGTCTCCTTTCTAACCTTGTAAGAGGGAATTAACCCCATAGGTGAAATAATTCAATATGTGCTCCTATTCGTGGGGGGCTACGTACGCACGAGGTGACCAGAGTCCGTGCGTAGCTACCATTATGCTTAAGTCCGGGTAGCCTAGGATCCAAATCATACTATACTTGCGATGTTTGCAACTTTCTTGTTAATTTGATCGCTTAAATCACATTGAACTTGGTAAAGGAATTTTAAAAGGATAACAATTCATTTTCTTGACCGTTAAATGAGAATCTGGCATTTCCTTGAATAATTGTCCCTTAATAAATTCTTGATTTGGTTGTTTGAATATGTTTATCTTTTGTGGAGCAGGCCGAACGCCTCGACAGATTAAATAGATACATCTATGGTTCGCGCTGTTCGACCATCGACTGTGCAAAGTCTAAATTTTGTATGTTGGATTGGGCCGTACGACCTCAACATGAATTGCGCATAACTGTATTGATTGCTTTGGAAATTTATAATAATTGATATTGTTTCATTGGCCTGAGATATACATTGATAAATGACGAAAACGAATTTGGAAATCTCCTATTAACAAAGAAATCATTTACCTGCTTCATGTTATTGAGTTTACAGCCCCTTGGTAAAATCCAAAATCAATTATATTATCGGTATATTTATTGTTGGCCATAGTAAGTGTCGGAGTCGACCTCTCGTCACTACTTCTTCGAGGTTAGACTGGATACTTACTGGGTACGCGTTATGTTCGTACTCATACTACACTTGATGTACATTTTGTTGTACAGGAACATACACAATTAGTGGCCTTGTGGGCGCATCGGCATGGTTGACACAGGGACTTAGGTGAGTTGCATCTCATGTTATAATCTGCAGGCAACAAAGTCTCCTTCAGAATATTTATATTTTTTCCTCTACTGTCCAAATTTCGTGTTCCGGACAGATGATGTATGTTATTTTATTCTTCCTAGTTGATGCTCATGCACTTGTGACACCGAGTTTTGGGATGATTATGGGTTTCTCAGTATTGAACTGGTTAAAATATTATTATTTACTCTAAAATTCCATCTTTTTACTATTAATTTGAAGGAAATCATGAATTTCAAAGATACTAAAATGAGAATCAAATTTATTATTTAATATTGGCTTGCCTGACAGTGGTGTCTGACGCCATCACGACCTTTAATGGAATTTGGGTCGTGACATATTAGTAGCATTTATTAAATTTGTCAGTAACTTTACTATGAGCAAATATCACGTCAACGTTCTTAACCACTCGTAATAAAATATTTTTAATAGGAATTATAAAATCAAAGCTCACAGATTTATCAATCAAGCCATATTTGTTAATCCAATAAATAAAATACCAACATTTAGTAAACTCACCACATCAGATTAATAGTTTCAAATAAATAATATCAACAGATAAAACTTAAAATTTAATATTAAACTCAAATATCTTTTAAAAAAATTAAAAGTTTTGCTGACTATAAAAAACTATCATTTGTTAAACAAATCTGTTTTTGTTATTTCAAATAAATATTTTTTTGTCGTTTTCATATTTGAAAATATGCTCATGCTTGTGTATGATTAAAAAAATTCAGTATCATGGGAAGATTAAACGTACTAATATATTATAAAAATAATAAATAAAATAATATAAAATTATTTTAATTATAAATAATATTCCTTGGTAAAAATATATTATAAAATATATAATCTAGAATGTATTACATAAATTGGAGGATTTATAATGTCAAGGGCATAATAGACTTTTTAGGTGAAAGTTGTATAAAATCTTGTCAAAGTGATTATCGTGATAACTAGACCATAGTAAAATAATTTTTGTGTAACAAAATAAAGAAAAAATTTTAAGGAAAAATTAAATGTACGAATATATTATAAAAATAATAAATAAAATAATATTAAGTCATTTTAGTTATAAATAAAATAACTAGGTAAAAATATATTATATAGTATATAATATAGAAGGTATTATATAAATATGAAGATTTATATAATATCAAGGGCATAATAGACTTTTCAAGTAAAAATATTATAAAATTTAGCAAATGTGACTTTTGTGATAACTAGAGCAAAGTAAAATGATTTTTTGTGTAACAAAAAAATAAAAAAGAATAATGGCTTTTGAGTAATGAACACAAAGTTAAATGATTTTTACGTAACAAAAAACGAAATGTGACTTTTGGATAACAAACAGAAAAGTTCAATGACCATCGATAAAATTAACTCTACAGTAGAAAGTCAACATCTATCTAGCAGTAGCAGTTTCTCTTCATATTTCAAATATAAGCCTAGTATTCNGAGTCTTTTCGATTGGGTTATGTTCCCTTAGCCTATTGTAACGTATTCGTTGTGGTTTTGATCAGATTCGACGCGCGAGGAGGTCGATTTGCGAGGCAAGGGCATAGCGAGCTAGGATTTTGGCCGGCTTGAGGTGAGTAATGATAGTAAATGATATCCTGAGGGTTTGAAACCCCGGATTTGCACAACGTAGTGCTATATTGAGGTGAAACATGCGCTTAATGGCGAGCGCGGGGTTGTTTACTACTGGGGATTGTGACTTGGTCCGTCCTGTTTGATAATTTACTGAGTATTTGATTAAGCTGATTTGTTTATCATCATGATTTGGGCTAGTTGCCATGTTTGAGGCCTCGTGCCGACTTGTAGAACCCTTAGGGGTATTATGACTGATTTTCCTCACTTTACTTAGTACAAATCACATCCTCAGTCATGTTTCTAATTGATTAAACAATGTGAACCGTTTTATAAGTGTTAATCCTAAATGAGGGAAGATATGTGGGCTGAGATCCCTACCCTATACTATGGTGTCCTAAAATGACTGAGAGGGGTTAAGAACCCAACAGTGAGGATATTATACATATTATGGATCGGGCTGCACGCCGCAGCAAATACTCATATGGATCGGGTGCACACCGCAGCAAATGTCTATGTGGATCGGGCTGCACGCCGCAGCAATATTGCGCTTGGGCTGTAGGAGCCCCCTCCGGAGTCTGCACCCCCACAGTGAGCGCGGGTACCCATATGGATCGGGCTGCACGCCGCAGCGATGGATCGGGCTGCACGCCGCAGCGAGGTATGGATCGGGATGCACGCCGCAGTGGTTATTATATGATACTATTCCGAGAGTAACAGGAGTTACTGTTCTGAGCAGTTGATATTGGGCCCGAGGGACAGTTTTACTATTTACCACTTATTAGCTGTTTTACCTGATTTATCTGCTTTTTTTAAAACGGAGATTTCACGTGATTTCACGGATTTTACTGCTTTAAGTGATTTACTGCCTGATATAGAACTGCCTTGTGCTGTTAGGTATTTTCTTATCTTCAGCTATTATTTATTATTATTACTCACTGGGTTGGAGTACTCACATTACTCCCTGCACCATGTGTGCAGATACAGGCATAGAGGAGTCTGCACCTGAGCGCTGATTCTTTCCAGACCAGGCAGCGAGTTGGAGTGACGAGGTAGTTGTTGACGTCCGCAGCCCCTTGTCTCCCCTATTTTATATCTTTTGAGTCCCTTCAGACTATTGTATCATATTTTCTATTCCGTAGACTCATTTACAAACTATGTAGTAGCTCATGACTTGTGACACCCCAGTTCGGGCTGTGTCAGGATGGTTCCCTTTGCTATTGTCGCTGTTTCTGCTTTTATAGCTGTTTATTATGCGTTTTGGATTTATAAATGTTAAATAATGGTTAAAGAAGTCATTCTGTTGATTTGGCTGGCCTTGTCTTCACAAAAGGCGCCATCACGACCGGGTTTGGGATTTGGGCCGTGACATTGGCCCTAATGTAGACTTTCCTCTCAGGCATTTGTGCGAATAATTCTACAGCTTTCAATTCTTCAATCGTGGTTTTGATATTATCATTTTCCTTTGGTTCTTGGATGAAGTCAAGTCATGAATCTACATCTGTTTGCCCATCTCCAGTTGAGGTTTGTGGTGTAGCATTCTCAACTAGGTTCTGTAATTGCTATTTTTCTTCATTTTTTGTGCTTGAATCTTCTACAGAGTTGATACTCCTAGGTGTTTGCTGATCACCTCGGATTTGACGGATCCCCCACTGTGATGGGAATTTTATGACTTGATGTAAGGTAGATGGGACAACATCCATTTCGTGAATCCACAGTCTTCCAAGAATCATATTGTAAGCCATTTCTATCTCTACCACTTGAAATTTCGTATCTTTGATAACTCCTTCTGCGAATGTTGTGAGTATTACCTCGCCCTTCGTCACGACGCTCGAATTATCAAAACCAGATAAAGTATGCGCCTTGGGTACCAGTTTATCTTCCGCTTGCATCTCGCTTAGTACTCTTAGCAAAATGATGTTCACGGAGCTACCTGGGTCAATCAAAACTCGTTTTATGTTAGTATCATATACCAGTAAAGATATTACCAGTGCATCGTTGTGGAGGGTTATCACGCCGTCCGCGTCTGCATCATCAAATGTAATACTTTCTTCCTCTAGAACATGTCGAACCCGCTTCCCGTGTGTAACTGTAACTTTAGAAATTTTCTTGGCTGCTGTATATGTCACGCCGTTAATTTCTTCGCCTCCGCTTATGACATTAACGGTCCTTTTCGGAGAAGGAGGTTTGGGAGGCTCTTGCCTGTTCTTCATGTATGCTTGCTTACCCTTTTCGCTTAATAGTTCGGTAAGATACCCTTGCTTTAACAAATGGTCCACCTCACCTTGTAACAATCTACAATCTGCTGTTTTATGACCATGGTCGTCGTGAAACTTGCACCAGTGGCCAGGGTTGCGCCTATTTGGATTTGATCTCATTTCCTTTGGCCACCGCACCTTATCACCCATGTTTCTTAATACAGCTACTAACTCTGAAGTGCTTACATTGAAACTGTAACTACCAATCATCGCCTTAGAGCCTCTGTCATCACTGCATGTTTCCCGCGTGTCACGATCTTTTCTAAACCTTGATGATGAACCCGACTCTCTATCTCTACGATAGTACCTTGGGTTATCCTGTTTAGATCATGAGTCTTTTCCCGCTGGTCCCATGTAAGGCTCGTATCTATTTTTACCGGACCTTTTGTCAGTTTCAGTACGCCTTGAAACCCTCTCTTCCTTTTGAAGCCGGTTAATAGTATCTTCTTCTATCCGCAACTTCGTGCTGTACCTGTTGTAGACATCATTCCAAGTTGTTGCTGGAAATTCTTGTAGGCTTTCCTTGAGTCGTCTCGTGGCTTCCGAACTCTTTTCATTTAGATTGGTGGTAAAGGCCATAGCTGCCCAGTTATCAGGTACGAGTGGTAACGTCATCCTTTCATGCTGGAATCTATCTACAAATTCTCTGAGCAATTCTGAATCTCCTTGCTTTATTTTGAAAATATCTTCCATCCTTTTTACGACTTTTTGAGCTCCCGAATGTGCTTTGATAAATAAATCTACAAGCTCAGCAAAAGAATTTATAGAATTTTCGGGTAAAAGAGAATACCATGTTAATGCTCCCTTGGTGAGTGTTTCACCGAATTTTTTGACCAATACAGATTCAATTTCTTGTTTGGTCAAGTCATTGCCTTTTACGCCAGCTGTGAATGCAGTCATGTGGTCTCGTGGATCAGTTGTTCCATCGTATTTTGAAATATCGGGCATTTTGAATTTCTCTGGAATTGGGAGGGGAGCAGCACCTGGCTTCCAAGGTTGTTGTGAATATTTGTCCATGTCTATTCCTTTGATTACAGGTGGTACTCCATGTATTTGCTCTATGCGATTGCTTTGTTCCTTGAGCTGCTTCTGCAGGGTTAGAACTAAATTTTGTAAATTAGAATTAACTATGTTACCTGGTTCGCCATCACGAGACTCGCTTGGAGTTCCACCAGTGCCTGAATGCATGAGCCCAAAACGTAGGTTTTCCAATGTATTTTGATTCGGAGTTGGTGTTGGTGGCGCAACTGGTAACTGGCTAGTAAAAGCACGGAGAGCATTACTGACTTTCTGAGCAATTAGATATTTTAAGGCATCATCAAGTGCTTGTTCGTTTACAACTCCAGCATTTTGAATCGCCTCGACTCCGTTTTGATTTGCAACTCCATGTTTGTCTCAGAGCCATCTGGAGTTCCTTCTCGTGATTGACGTAGTGAATCATGTGGTGAAGGAAGTGGCGTCCTGTCATCTGCATTATTTTCTTGTTGTTGAAGACCTTGTTGACTATTGTCGTTGATATTCGACATAGTAAGTTGTTTGATGAGAGAATTGACTTAAGAAAGCAAAACGATTATCAGATTCCCGGCAACGGAACTAATTTGTTTAACCAAAAGGTGGGATTTCGGCTAAAGCTTATTTTTAGAAGAACTCGGGTTACTGATAATCAAATAGAAATATAAAAAATGGATGTAAGTAAAAGTTGAATAGAAAGCGAAGTAAATCAGTATATTCCAGTAGTATTTCGTGTCTTTACAAATGATCAGGTTGCCCATTTTATAGCTATTTCTAGGTGATACGTTTTGCCTTTGTCATAATAAGGCCATTATAGACAATTAAAGGTATTTAATGCTACGTTATAAATGATAATCATTGTACTTCAATACAGATTCTCTAACGTTCTCAGTATTTAATGCCTATTAAATACTGTATCCGTTCCCACTTTTGGTGTCAGATTCATTCTCTTATCTTGACTTATGAACATAAAGAGGTGCGGGCACCGAGTCTCTTGAATCTCTGCTCGTGTCTGTTGTATCCAGGGGCGGACCCACATGGGATCAAGAGGGTTCATATGAACCCGCTTCGTCGGAAAATAATACTGTGTATATAGGTATATTTTACCCTTCTTCGAACAAACATTAGTATAAAATACATACTGACCCCGCTTAAAACAACAGTAAAGTCCAGCCCATTGGCAAAGTGGGTTCAAAATTAGCAAACTCACCTGAGTTCGCATTGGTCAGCAGCATGTGCGCTTTTTTTTGTTGTATAACAGATGTTTCTTTTCACTTTTTGGACTAGAAAAGCTTACTATAGTGAAAGAAAAATGCACCATTTTTTTTGTTTTTTGCATAATCTAAAATCTGAAAATTATATTTTAAAAAAAGTAATCTTTCAATGATATATTTTAATTTTCTAATAAAAAATTATTTTGTTGACTTTTTTGTATTTTTAATTCTTCGCATGTTGAACCCGCTTGATGAAAATTCTGGGTCCGCCACTGGTTGTATCTCGTGCCTTTTAAACTATTCTTTGCTGATCGTCATCCTTTGACCAGTTTACGTGTCATGACACGTCATCTTTCATTGAATTCAATATGTATGAACTCAATTTTTACCAATACACGGCTCTGCCACTGTTTTGCAGTACCAGCAGACTGCCAGTCTCCCATTTTCACCTCATTTCTTTTCGATCTTTATTAGTCATATAATACTGATGATACAGTTATAATTTACAATGTTATAAGTAACAGAGCCAAAACCAAAAGGCAGACAAATCACATTCTCCTTTTCCTCACTGCTCAGTAGCCAGACACTGTCGTACATTTGGCAGGCAAATCACATTCTGTTTGTTCATTTGCCAACTAAGTAGTACCAGAAACTATATGAAATTCCAATAAAGAAATGGCAGTAGTTAATAATGACTGTCATAAGATTTACTGTATTTGATTACACATTTTTTTACTCTGTTAAAGAAAGTTTTGCAAAGTATGATTTGTCTTAAACTTAACTAAAGAGAAAGAGTTGGGTATAATGGCGGTCAAGTGAGTGAGAACAAAACTCTATTGACAATTAGTATATATTGAGAGTTAGAGTTAAATTCAGAATTTAAATTTGATGTGTTTATCCTTTAATTTATTACCAGATGAATTTATTATATTTTTTAAATTATGAGTATAAAATTTAATATTTGTTGAAAGGTCAAAAGCATTGTTTTCGGTTAAACTCATTGGTTACATGATACATCTACCACTATTTGTAGTACTATAAACTTATTTAATCACTTCCATTTAAAATGGCCTTGGTCCGAGCATCCAAAGGTATAATTTAGCTGTCAATAAAATGAGTGAAAATTACAAAAAAATCTAAATTTAAACCCCGACAAAGACAAAATTGATTTCTTTTCCATCTGTATAAGTCTCGATGAACAAAGTGCCACTGCCCAAATGAGAAATAATAAATATCCGATAGAATAACCAGAGTGCAAGCAAACTGGTCGGAATACAACAATGACCCAGTAAAATCCCACAAGTGTAAACTGGTCGGAATACACAAAAAAATGGCCATAGTATAATAATGCATGTCATAACATTCATTTAATTAAAAAAAGGCCAAATACATATACAACCCATTCAACTTGGCCCCATTTTCAGGGTGATTTTTAAAAATAGCCAGATTTACAACTGGTCGTTCAAAAATAACCCAATTTCAAAAGTAATCGAAATTTAGCCACTTTTTATGTAAAGATAAATATGAGCGAAAACACTGTTCAAAACCCGGAAAGTACTCCAGTATATTATGTTGGAGTTCCAGCATAAGTATACTTGAACTCCAGCATATTATACTGGAGTTCCAGAATAGTATGCTGGAACTCCAGCATAATATGATGGAGTTCCATCATAAATACACTAGAACTCCAGCATAATATACTGGAGTTCCATAAAGTATAATGGTCCAGTATAATATACTGGAGTTTGGAGCACCAGTGCTCCAGTCTCCAGTATATTATACTGGAGCCAGCAAAGTATATCGGTCCAGCATAATATGTTGGAGTTCATACACAAGTGCACCGATCTCCAGTATATTATGCTGGACCGGTCTCTATTGCAGCAAAACGGTGGCTATTTTTCATTGACTTGGTAAATGCTGGCTATTTTTGATTGACCAGTCCGAAAACTGGCTATACCGTAAAATTTTGGCCATTTTTTATTTTGTCACTCTATCTCAACCTTGTTCCATTTTGGCCCTACAACTCTATTTTATACGTTCCATTTTGTCCCTCCAACTCTATTTCTTATGTTTCACTTTAACACAAAAACTGAAACCAGTGCAAAAAATATATCGCGTGTGTATACACAAATCTGAGGGGGATTTGCATCTATACCCGCTTTTTGTGTCACGTTTTAACTTATACCCGCTTTACAAAAAAAAATGCAAGCGTACCCACTTTTCACGTAAACTTCAGGCATACGGGTCTGAAGTAGCAAAGGCAATCACGCAAACTTCAGCATTCTAGTAGACGGGCCTGGAGTTGTTTGTAATTGCTGAACTTAAGCATTCTACTAGCTGAAGTTTTATTCTCTATTTGTAGAACTTCAACATGTTTTAGCTGAAGTTTTGTCCTAGATTCAATAGTTTTGTCGTAAAGCTTTTTCAAAAATTGCAGCAGAAGATGCTGGAGTTATTTAGTTCATTTGTAAAAACTTCAGCACTAAATAAGCTGAAGTTTTGTCCTGGATTCATTAGTTTTATCATAAAGCTTTTTCAAAAATCTTCAGCAGAAGATGGTGAAGTTATTTAGTTCATTTGTAAATACTTCAGCACTAAATAAGCTGAAGTTTTGTCCTACAGTCGTACTAGCTAAAGTTTTATTCTCTATTTGCTGAACTTCAGCATGTTTTAGCTGAAGTTTTTCTCGTAAACTTAGTGTTGACTGAAGTTTTTGTTTGTAATTGATGAACTTAAGCATTCTACTAGCTGAAGTTTTGTTCTATATTTGCTGAACTTCGGCATGTTTTAGCTCAAGTTTTCCCTATATCTAGACATAAGTCCCAACTTCCAACTATAATCTAATGTAAAGATGCGTAATAGTTAATCTTCCTCCTATCTCCCTAACAATCTGAA